AGATGCTGGATATTTGTATTATAATGCCCAGATACATAGTGTTAAACACTAAGGATTTATTGCCTCTCCTTGCATGTGACAATTTAAAATCTAGACCACAGTAATTTATATATCATGGAAAGAAAACACCTTTTAGTGGTTGATTTCAAAGCATGTTATAAGTTCTGTTCAGTTAGGTTTTAAAACTCCTGCTGAGACCTAAGGCAATTTTTAAATGGATTTTAATTTGGGGAGGATATGGATAATAATTTGTTCCTACTCTGTTAACATACTCATGATAAAGCTGGGGAATTATTGTGGAATAATTCATAGCAATTCATATCAAAATGAATTATTCTCTGCACTAGTGTTGTCTCTCCATCCCAAATATTTAAAGTTATTTTACCTGTGTTTATTCATTTGGGGGCTGAAATTTGGAAGCCAGTTTGCCCATCTTTATCTTGTGGTGTTCTCTGTTCAGTAGGTCGGCTACAGTTTCCCTTGGGTTCACACAAGTTTGCAAACCTTTCCCCCTGTGCTTGTATCTTGGATTATCATCTTTAGTGGGCCTTTGTTTAAGATGGTATGAAGAGGCTGGGGTTTGCAATATGATTGTTTAAGTTCATCTACACTACCTATATTGGGTCTGGAAAAAAAAAAGTCATACATGACTTTTTTACCCCCTTCAAACCAGAAAAATTAAATCTGCGGATCCTAGTAGCTAATTTTGAAATGTGTGATCATTTTGTAGAGCCAGCTCAGTAAGCATTTGTTGAAAACTTAGGTTTAAGTTCTATACTTTCCTTTGCATTTATGAGACCATGCTCATATAAGAATATAAGCTCATATAAGAATATGCTCATATTAGAATATAACTATTCATATAAGAATAGTTTTGTGATGGCCGGACACGATAGCTCATGTCTGTCATCCCAGCACTTTGGGAAGCTGAGGCGGGCAGATCACTGAGGTCGGGAGTTAGAGACCAGCCTGGCCAACATGACAAAACCCTGTCTCTACTAAAAATACAAAAACTAGCAAGGCATGGTGGCAGGTGCCTATAGTCCCAGCTACTCGGGAGGCTTGGGCAGGAGAATTGCTTGAAACCAGGAGGCAGAGGTTGCAGTGAACCAAGATTGCGCTACTGCACTCCAGCCTGGGCAACAGAGCAAGATTTTGCCCCCTCCTCCCCCCGCCAAAGAAAAGAATAGTTTTGTGTGTATGTGTGTATGTTTTTCTTAAAGACGCTTCGCTGAACTGAGGAGTTGACTATAGCTGCTCTGAGACTTGACTGTTTAAAAATTGAGGCCGGCTACAGTGGCTCACACCTGTAATTCCAGCACTTTGGGAGGCCGAGGCGGGTGGATCACCTGAGGTCAGGAGTTAGAGACCAGCCTCGCCAACATGGCAAAACTCCATTCACCAGGTGTAGTGACACACGTCTGTAGTCCCAGCTACTCAGGAGGCTGAGGCGGGAGAAGTACTTGAATCCGGGAGGCAGAGATTACAGTGAGCCGAGATCTCACCACTGCCTTCCAGCCTGGGTGACAGAGTGAGACTCCGTCTTCAAAAATAATAATAATAATAATAATAAAAAGTGAGTGCCCATTCTCCCAGTATTTGGTGGAGTATAAGTTATATAGAGTCTTCATTACTTTGTTTTTCTTTGCTTGCTTTATTTTAGTGTTAAATGTGTGTGTAACCTTTCTCCTCTTCCCCACCATATTTTTCTCTGCACTGTCATCTACAGTCCCTCTCTCTGCCTTTCCAACTAGCAACCAAACTGTTCTTTGCTGATCGGTCTATTATTCTGAGAACCCTGATGATAGCACTTAAAATATATAACAGTTCCCTTTCTACATTAAAAAGCCGTAAAACCTTCATGTGAAATAACTAAGGGAACATATATAGTAGGAGAAGAGGCTTTTGCTCCTGCAGACACCTTGCAAAGGGGACTGGGACTATTTTTCTTATATGATATAAATGAAATCTTCACTCTGCCCACTTTTACACCTACGCATGTACTGAGCGTCTCCAAGGAGACAAGGAAACCCGGAGTCCAGTGATGGTGAATCCTCCCTGAGACAGCAGGCTAGAGTCTCAGGCAACTCTCCCAGGCGTCTTGGCTTCCAGATGCCCCACTCAGACAGCCCCTTTTCTCGAGGCTCTTCCAGGCAGGCCTTGTCGAATCTGTCTCTCCCTTCACAGCCGAACTAGCCCGTGCATTACATCTGAAGGGCTGGTCGTGGTGAGTTCAGTAGGCAGAAGGCCTCCCTGGGACACGGGGGTGGACGCAGTAGGGAGGTGGGATAGCAGGGTTCCACTTTTCTCGTGGTCTTTTCTTTGTCACTTATCTATCGGTGCTTGTGTTTGTCAGCTTTCGTTTGCACCTCTTAAACACAAAGGCACCACTCAACCTTACACAGTGTCTTAAAAATATTATGTGTTACAACTCTAGTTATGAGCACAGTTCAGTGAGCGTGTCCTTTTGGGAGAAGCACTGTTCTTGCACATTCCATGTTTTTAGGTGTCTGCTCATGAACACTAATCCTCTAGACTACTCTGTTTTCTCTTTCTTCTGAGTTCAATGCACAGGGACACCCAGGCCCTCTTACCTCTCTTCCATTCCACCATTGTCCCTGTAACTTTTCTTGTAAATATACATGTTATTTTCTTATATAAATGAAGTACCTGTTCCTTTTTAAGGAACACACTACCATCATAAGTCCGTTACGCTAAGTTTCTAAGACTATAGCCTCAGGTCCTTTTGATGTATTGATGACATCTATGTGTGCCTCTTCTTTAATGCACAAATAATTTGGTTACCATATAGAAATTATTATTCATATAATAAGAAGTCTCATTTTGTGTCTAAACTCTAAGCACACCATTTAATGAGCATTCTCGACATCTCTGCCATGTTCTCTGCCATTCTTGGTTGTCAGTTGCATTGACTCAAGTAACCCAACTTTTCATATGACTTTCTAGCACAATATCCTCAAACTTCAGTTTTCTGTTGCTGATCCTACTGCCATCTTTGGAAATGTGTGTGGCTAGCTATTATTCTTGTTCTGAATTCTTTGGCAGTGAATGTCTTCGTGGGGGTGTATCGATGACATTGTTTTTTTCTTTTTTACTTGAACTTTTATTTTATTTTATTTTATTTTATTTTTTGAGGTGGAAACTTACTCTGCTACCCAGGCTGAAGCGCAGTGGTACTATCTCAACTCACCCCAACCTCCGCCTTCTGGATTCAAGCGATTCTTCTGCCTCAGCCTCCCAAGTAGCTGGGATTACAGGCATCTGCCACCACACCCAGCTGATGTTTGTATTTTTAGTAGAGACAGGGTTTCACCATGTTGGCCAGGCTGGTCTCGAACTCCTGACCTCAAGTGATCTGCCCTCCTCAGTCTCCCAAAGTGCTGGGATTGCAGGCGTGAACCACCATGCCCAGTCTTGAACTTTTAAAAAGATTTGTCAGTCATATGTTAAACATTTTAGAGGACTCTTCTGTTTTCTTCCTGCTTTATCTCCAATTCATACTACCACCCCAGTGTCTACCTTTAAGGAAAAACCTTTCCATATTGTAAGCCTGAAAGGGTCATTTGTAATAAACGTAACCAGTTTTGTTCACAGATACATAATGTT